GGGAGAAGCAAAATTGTGTGAAGGGTATTCTCTTTTCTACTCCCCTGGGGAAAAAGGCCTTGTTCTGTAAAGCTAGCACATGGGTGTGAGAGTCCCAGGGGAGGGGGAAGAACATCCTGCAATCCACTTAAAAGCAAAACCAAAACCAACTGGCCATCTTTAAATGTTCTGTCACAGGTTAGTAATTGCAGTGTCTCTCCCGAGTCCCATGGCAGCACAGGGCCTGACACACGCCAGCTTTGGTCTAAGGTCCCATCTAGAAAATGTGGTTCCAGGGGAATGATATCAAATATCTCCTGTGGTAGAGCTGTGCACCTGCTATTCTTCACCCACAGAAGTGATGATCTGATGTCACCATTGCTGTTAGCCTGAGGAGTTCCTCTCCAGTGTCATCTTCCAAAGCTCTGTCACTGTGAGAGGCTCTGAGTGTTTGCATCCATATTGTTTCAAAATCCCAAACACCAGCTAATATAGATATGGAAGGTAAGTGGCTCTCATAAGTATTCCTATGACTTCTGAAAAGGTGCTCTTTTTCCCAAAGCCTCCTTTCAACAGGATCCATTTAATGAGATCCTCTTTCTCTGTTTTCAGGAACAATGTTCATAATTTCCTTTAGCCTACTAACACCTCCTGACAACATCTTTTGCTATCACTCGTGTTATACACTGCAGTGCAAAACTCTGCTCCTCCTGTAGCTTTGTTGTGAGGGCTTCACAGAGAAGGAGCTGAGCCTCAGGGTCTCTGCAACACTGGCTATTTTGCAAATCTGCAATGGATTACCCTCAGAAGTTCACGTAAGCAACAGTTAAAACTTATGAAATAACTCTGACTCAGTCTGAGTGAAACAGATCCCCTGAACATGAGAAACACGTATACAGCAGTACTCTGAGGCCTGGAATCCCTCTTCCATGCCAGCACCTATTTTTGTAACAAGACCTTTCATCCTGACTCAGCTTCCTCAGCGCTTGGCTGAAGAATTTGGAAGTGCTCAGGATTATTTCCATTGGCTAAATAATCGTCCCAACAAGACCCGAATAGTGAAATATGGGATTCACCCAGGTACAAAGCTAACTAAAGAATCACTCCATTGCTTTTTGTTGAGCTTTAGAATGAAAATCATGCTATGCCAGCTTTTTTCAAGTACATCTGACTGCTCTTCTAGCATCTTTTCATAAACAATTGCCTCCCACTTTAAAAGAAACACCTTATTGCTGCCTCCCTGCTTTAATAATGCAACAGAAACAAGAGCCATTTGCAAAGGATACAGGTGGAGTAGCAGACCATTGCCTACAACAGCATTTCAGTGATGATGTCTCGTATTTTTCCCCCTTGAACTGCAGAGCCAATCTTGGTGTGCCCTCCTGGATGTGCAGGCTGCTCTTTGTTGGGCACAGCACCTGACTGTCAACAGCCCCAATTACAGTGCTTTTTGGAGGGGCTTCTGCGCACAGACAAGTGCATTATGCTGGCAGCTACCCTGAGCTTGCATTCCTTTTCCCTCTCATGCTTGAGCTGGGAGGTTTGCAAACCCAGAGTGCTGGGTCAGAGGCTGCTGCGTGTGGGTTCTGACTCTGCCTGCAGCGTGCAGCACCGTGCCACAGACACTGCAAGCTGCACAAATGCACTTCCCCACCCTCCTGCCTTTTAAAGGCACGCTGGGGAGCTGGCAGCCACAGCTCAAACTAAAGCAAATGTAGGAAAATTGGAGTGCATTATAGGCTCAGTCCTGCAAAGTGGGAGCTCACTCAGTAATTCCGTGTTCCTGAGATCCAGTTCCCAAGTCCTTGCACAATTTAGCATTAGAGCTGAAATGTCTCACTTAAATAAAAAGCACTTTTCAGGGTTTGCAAGGATCAGGTTTGGGAAACACAGGAGTGCAAAGTGACAAAGGGCTATGGGACAGCAAACAAAAGGCACAGGGCCAGGAGTGAGATAAGGGCTGGGATTAAAACAGCAGTACCAGCAGGGGAAAGGCCATGGTATGAGCAGGTACAGAAGGCACCCTAGTTCAGCTCAGTGCGAAATGATGCTGCCAGACAGAGGCTGAAACACTGAAAAGCAGCTGTTGGTAGCCATAAGAGAAGATAAATCTGTAAGAGGCAAGAACCAGTTTGTTATCTGGCTGAAGCAGTCAGGCAGCACTCCCTGATAGACAAATTCAGGAAGCAATGACATTAAATAGATGTAAACAAGCTGTCTCAGCAGTAAAATTTTGTTACTAACCAATTAAATTTCATCTTCAACTCTTAGCTGGCGGCCCTGGCTCACATCCCCTTTGCTCTTATTGTTTCACAGAGATAAAACATGTTGTATACCATTTCCATCAAAATCAGGAGATGGATGGAAAGCCCTTCCCTTCTCTAATGAGGCTGAAAGACTCCTTACCCTACATATCAGAGAAGCCTGTCACATTTGCATTAATTGATGCTGAGAGTTTTAGGGTTGTTTAGAAAGTGTTCAGGGCCAGAGAAGGAAAGGGAGGCCCATGAAAACGTGGTTAAAGTGGATCAGACTGTGTGTTAGTGAGGCCTGCAATTTCCCAGTCAAGTGTTCCTTGCTAAGGTTTAGCATCCAGACCTCCCCAAACACTGCTGTGTGGGGAGCCAGAGGCCTTCTAGCAGGCAGCTGTTGCAGCCTCCAAGTAGACTATTTTTAATAATGCCAAGGAAAAAGCCCACAGAGCATAAATGTGCTGCTGTTACAGCCATCAACTGCCTCATTCTGCCAATGATTTTGTCCAAGCAGGAGTTTTTGTAACTGTAAATGACAACGGAGCTTATAATTCTTACGTTTCAGCTTATACCTCTTCAGTCTTTTCAATGTTCTTGGAGCTAATGATTTCAGCACAACTTTCATTTCACATCACCCTCACCATTTACTGAAATGGATCTGTCCTGGGAACAGTTTCTTCTTTTTATAGCAGCTTTTACTTCTGGATGGAGCTCTTAATTTCCAGGTATGGGCTGTTGCATAATGACAGACAGTAAAGTTGAGGTAAAGGAAAAAAATAAGTCATGATTTAGAGAAAGCAGAAGCTTCTGCAACAGTGCAAAGCTCAAGCTGTTTGTCTTGATGAGCCAAATGATGATGGCCTTTATAAACAGCAAACATCCATAAGCAGGGGGTGATTCCTGGCTGAGACTGAACCCAGTCTGTCTTACATCAGATACTTGCTGCATCCTGCAAAATGTTGCCTTTGAAACACAGCCACGAGCAGTACAACACACCGGTGAGCTTCTCCTTGGTAGCCAAAGTGTTTAAAGCCAGCCCTTGAGGAGAGCATTCCCTGGTCACTGGGGCACAGGGCTCTCCCACAGCCCTGCCTCTGAAACAGCATTTACTGTGGAGCAGGCAGAGGAGGATGAGGAGGGGGAGATTCCTCATCCCAGCATTAATCACAGTGATAAATCTGCCTGGAGATGCTCGGGGCTGGTGCTCACTGTGTGACTCTGCACTGCAGCCCCGGACCCTCGCCAGCCTCCCGGTGGTCCTGGCCCCACCACAGCGGATCTGGGGCCAAGGAGCCGAGGGGGATGAGCAAGGGGTCCTGTCAGGGCTGCAGTGGCTGCACCTCAGCCCCCAGTTCCACTCCTTATCCCATGCCCACCTGGCAATGGATCGTGCCCCAGAGGCCACATCCAGCCCCACGCTGCTGCAAAGCTGCTGAGTGTCAGGAGGGGAAGGGAGTGGCTGCGATTTTTTCCACAGTAGCTGCAGTGTGACTCTCAGAGCAAGGGGGGACAGCTGTGGGACCTGAGGGGTGGCTTCAGGTAGCCCTTCCTTGCCTTTTGGATGTGGGCTGCTGCCGAGCACTTCCCCCGAAATGAATTCACCTTGGCCATTCATCATCACCACAGGCAATCTAATTACAGGCCTGTCTGAAAAGGAGAGGCTCATTTATAATAGAGACTTTGTTATGAAGGTGTAATACCTCCAACTACATTTTTGCAATATTTTTTAAAGGAAAATTAATTAATTGTCTTGTGCTTTTTAAAATAACCAGCCTCCTGAGGTTGGCGCAGCACACGTCTGGTGGTGCTCCCTCCCCACCCAGCCCACCTACTGTGTGACAGTGAAATGCTAGAATTATTTTGGCAGAGGAATAGTCTCAGAGGCTGTTGTTTATTTTCCACAGCAGAGGAATATCTCAGGATGCAGCCTGCACCTCTGCCCTGTGGGACTGTCTCTAATTGCACGCAGCGCGCTGCAGAAGCACTCAAAATGCACAGTTCAGAAAGCAGAATTAAACATGGGGAGGGGGGCACCGACATCCAGCATGTGCCCAGATTGGTCTTTAAAAGAGAGAAATGTTAGAATACACTTCCCTGAGAAGCACAAAAATGGATTGTGGACTAAGGCAGCTAATCTCCTACTGACATGCACGCAGCACAGCCACCAGTGAATTGGCATGAGAGCTGAGGAGCTGGGCTGGCATGTTCAGCTCCTGCCAACCTTTTTCACACGAGCTTTTGTTCTTTGAGCCATCTTGATGAATGGACAGCTCGGGTGGGCACTGCTCAGGAGCAGTTTCAGGCCAGTAGAATGGCAGAAGGCAGAGACAAGGTGTGTGTCCCTGCCACTGCCGAGGAGGAGGTGTTGCAGAACGCATGGCGTGCACTTCACCAGCTGAAAAACCTGCAGCAGATTGCAGCACCTCATAATGCAAGGCAGGTTCTGTTCCAAGCTGCTGCTCTTTTGCCCAGGATAGACCATCCCAGGTCACTCTAAAAAAAAAAAAGCTAAAAGCAGTGGATGGATGGCCTTAACCTGTCTTCATTCTTTTTTGTTATCTCCAGGGCTTGCTAGACAGTCATATCTCTTCTAACCACGCTTTTTCATGCAGACACACCAAGCATTAGATGAGGCTTTGATGCAAAAAAGCAATCACAGAAATGATGAGTCAGATCCCCAGGCATTATGAGAGAGGAATGAACCACAGCTGCATCTGGGATGAGAGATACTCCAGAAGCTCAGGAGGGATCAGCTGAGTTTCAAAGGGATCAACTGGGTTTGAAGTGAATGGTAGAAAGTAGGATGTGGAAGAAAGTTTTTGCACAAAAGAAGGGAACTATATTGCAAGAAGATACTGATGAATGGTTTGCTCTTTTTCCTGGACAGGAGAGAAGAAATGGACACCTGCAATTCAAGGCAGGTAAGAAGGGAGGGTTTTGGACAAGAAATTGAAGATGTGACAGGGATGGTTGGATCTCTTCTGAAATCTTCCTCATAAGTTTGTATCTGATGTGGAGCGCTAAAAGAGCAGTGGAGCCTGAATAGAGACCATTAGGAATAAGACTTCCAGGAGACAGAAAATTGTGGATGTTTTTTCCAAGTGAAGCTTCCTATAAGTAGCATGATGGACCAATTATGTGTTGTAAGTCTTCTCACACAGTGACACTCTTTGCTACACCATGAGATCTCTGTTACCCTCACACTCTCTCAGGTAATGCTTTTAAGGTTAATCTGACATTTGGACTTGGACAGAGGCTCTTGTTCTAACTGCTTGGAAGAATAAATTACAGGACATTTAAAGTCCAAACCCATGGTTAGTGAGAACAACACGTTTTGTGTTTTGCCATGTGCTGCTCTAAATTCTACCTGAAACCAAATGTACACAGAGAGTCTCTGCACAGAGCAACCTGTCCTTGTAGGTATACAAGGATGAGTGCTGGCAATCACAGGGCTCCTTTTCCCAAGCTCCACATTCACCAGCACAGACCAGCTGGGGCTGGAAGCAGAGCAACCTGTGTGATGCCAGGTCTGAGCTAACAAACCAGGTCAGCATTTATCCCAAGAGATCTTCTTCCAGTACACCTTTATGCCCACACACTCAATTCAGTCCACTGGCAGGCAGATATCTGTTCAGCTTGTAGCCTCCATCCCTTTGAGGGCAGGAATAAGTGCAGGACTGGGGATAGGTGGAGAACAAGAAGGACTGCAGTGGAGAGATTAGAATGTCTGCCCAGCTAAGATGTGCCTTCATCACTGCAGGATTTTTTACTTGCCTGCCTAATGGCTCCTACTTCACAGACTTTTCATTCCATATTCTTGTCTGTATCTTTGCAGTGCTAACTATAGAATGCTGCATGCTTTAACCCATGGTTTTGCTGTTTTGATGTTGAGCTACGTCTGGTCTAATTAGGCATTCATGCAGTGATAAACACTCATTTCTTATACACATTATGCAGAACCTTGTGTGTTTTCCTGCATTTTCTTTTATTTCTTTTGTAATGTTAAAAGAAGGACATGATTCATTTGAAAGAAGAAAAAGGAAAATGTTTATAAAAGGATCCTACATAAGCAGAAAAAATGCACTATGTAGTCCTCATAAAACTGGAGGGCAGCCCAGAGCTTGGGACCTTCAGACCATTTGCTAAGGTCTGGTGAAAAATGTCATGGAGGTGCACTGGCTGCTGCCAGGCTTATGGGATAATTTTATGCAGGTCACTTCAGCAGGCACTTCTGTCTTGCTCCACTGCAGTTCCAGATCTGCTAAACCCACCAGGTGCTGTGTTATTGTCTGAATGGCAATGGTGGCAGCTCCCAAGAAATGTGGGATCTCCTCCAGCAATATGGGGAACATCATATATTTGGGGTCTTGGAAAAATTTGGCCAACATTTATTGATTGATTTAATGTATTAATCTGGAAGGTAGTCTGCTCTTTGTACATGCCTGGGCACAGCTGGGCAGTTACCTTGGACCACTCTTGGTGCCCTCTTGCTTGCCATTCATTCAGAGTTAACTCTGCAGACATTCTACTGCTACAGCAGCTGGTTTCTCTGTTGCTTGATGGAATACAAATCTCCAGTTTTGGTCACCTTCTTATGTGTGTTTTCTCTCCTGCCACGTGGGTTATGTCAGCATTTTAATGGCACAGCCTTTGGGCTTGATTTCAGTCTCATGTTTTCTGGAGTCCATTGACAGTGTCTTCAGTGAAGTAACAAACCTGCAATAACATAAACACAAAATGAGCAAAGGAAAGTCAATCTTACAGCTTTTAGAGGGGAAAAAGTACTCCTGAACTTGACAAAAGTTTGAGTCTTAATCCAAAAACTTACTGTTGTCACACTTTATTTGATCAGTTTGGAGTGTTTTTTTGAGGGAAATCCACATGCACGCACGCACAAAACAGCTGTGTTATTGGGTTTGCATGATAAAAGATGGATTCAATTTTTTAAAAAGTAATGTTACTGATTATTACTATATAACATGCAATACAGCCTGAAGCTGTATGCTATGCCAAATGAAAGAGCTTGTCAGCAATAGTTTGAAAAAGTATATGCTGTGCATCACATTGTTTGTTGGGTTTTTCTGCACTAGACAAAGGATACCATGTCAAAATGCAGCACTCTGTACAAAGGTAACTTTACAACAATTTACATAAAAATAATAGAATTTGCAAATCTATTTGCTGGTCAAATCATGCTCTTGTTTACACTCTATATTCAAGTAACCAATTTCACACTATATACATTAATGCAAAATTCAGTGCTGCACATATTGTACACCTGAAAAGAAAGGAAAAGGAAAATGAAAAGAAGGTCACAAAGCTCTTTCAATTCAGATTTTGAGATTGTGTGGTACATGCATTTCTTTCTAAAACCATCATGAGAAAGCAGGGAAACAAGTATTCAAGCAACCCTGATTTCCAGCCCTATTTCAGCTTGCAAACCTTCTCTGCCATTTATGTCCTTCTTACCCTATATGCCAAGCAGCCCAAAGATTAACCAGCACCTGGAAGGTTGCTAGTATTGCCAGGTGCATTTTTTATTACAAGTTCTGCAATAATTGCTGTGCTTCCTACAGCTACAGCTTTTGGATTCATGTGCTTCCTTCAGTTTTCAGGGTAAAGCTTTAGTATGTAACTTCAGGGACTGTAATGAGCTGAAAATGTTGAGGGAAATTCCACATCCTCACTCCAGTGTGGAAATTTTGGTGGTAAATACCAAAATCTGTGGGAGCTCTGCCTGTGTGGTCATCCTCTCACATCACTGGGAAGAAAAACCCACTAGCACCTTAAATGCCACCATGGTATGATGGGTGCTACTGAGGGTGCTCTGCTGGATGTCCCTTCCATCCAGCTCTTTCTCAAGGCTGTTCTAATCCTGTGATCCTCACTTTCCTTCCCTTTAGTTCATTTCTGTACCCCATAATCACTTCTTTCTTTCCTTTTCTTTCTTTGTCCTTTAGCCCTTCCCCTTCTCAGGGGAGTAAGGGCCAGCCTGATCTTAAAAGGAGAATTGCTGTAAAGAATGGCTGTCCTTTAAGAGCAGAAGCCTCATCAGTGTCAGCAAACACTGAAGCTGCACAGCTGCAGTGCCCACTTTGTGTTTCTTCTGTCTCGTGCTCCATAGCACGCCCACTTCAGCTGAATGGAGAAGACAGGAAAAGGTTTCTTCTTCAGGTTACATAAAACTGCCCCATGGCACTTTGTATTGTGAACTGACAGGTGCCAGAGGAGTAAAAGCCACTGTAGGCCAGCAGAGACTAAATTTTTCAAACCAGGGGAGCTTTGCAGTGTTCAGTAGAAGAAGCAGAACTGTGGGTTTGACTCACCCTGAGAAGTCAAGCTCCACTTACTTTCAGAATTCAGCTTCAGAATGCATTAACTTTTACATGAATTTCCAGGAAATCAGACTGTGCTTTACAATTTCAGAGTTAGACAAGCTTTAGTTCTGGAGCCTCCAAGAGGCCACATAATAATTGGTGTGAGTCCTTTCATCCATCACAGAGATGACGTGTCAGGTGTTTGGAGGCACAGAATGATGCTACACCACAGTTATGGAGAGGCAGTGAAAAATGACATGTTCTCTGGAAGCTGCAAGAAAGAATTAGGTAGACTGGGAGGGTTTTCTCAGTGGGGAGTTGGCTGGGGGCACGTACACACTTTGTGAAAAATGCATTGGTATCTTCCATCAGCAGAAGCAGCTGCAGCCCATTGCAGCTGCAGTGTTTCTTTCAGACAATAAGGAGAGCAGCTCTCCTTTCCTCTTCCATGGGAAAGCACTGTCCACCAAATACTTCTTACAGTTCCTGATCATTTAGGATTGGTCTCCAACCGAGCCTTCACAAAGTCCAGAACTCCTCAGGTGGTCCTTGGGTCATTCTGGGTTACACTGAGCTCTACCAGCTCTGCTTGTGGCCCAACACAACTTCCTGTGCTTATTTCCACATTATCTCCTTCGATGTTTCATCTTTATTGCTGTGGGTAGTCAAGTAGTGAAAACCACGTCAGAGGAGTCCTTATAGCACTTACTGGAGGAAGAGAACAGCACATCTCCTTTAATGGCAGGAGAGAGAGCATGGAGCCATTCAGGCCAGCTGGGAGTGGAACCAGTGTTTCACCAAGAGGCCTGCAATGATTCCAGGAATAAAAAATAAGCACCTACGTTAGTTTTAACTACCAGAGCTGAATTTTTAAATTAAAATATATGAGATCTAGTGTAATCCTTGGTAGGCTGATGACTTCAGTTATGTGGGGTTCTTCTCTGACTTGAAACAGATGAGCAGGGAAGGTTTGGAGCTACAGGGCAGACTAAGAATTGAAGACAAGGAGCAGCTTCCAGAGAAGTGCTCAGGTGCAGAATAATGCAAAGATTTGCCTCATAGAGCATTGTTGTGGGAAGCTTTTAGTAGAACAGACTGAACAAAAAGAATCAGTGAAGTGGTCTTCTCTTTATAAAAGTGTTTTTGTCAAAAGCAATTATTTTTTGGAAATGCATCAAAATTTAAAATAGGAAAATGAGAAACAATTGTCTTTTGACTTTCTCATTTCACTGCGATAATGTCAAATTGTTTCATTCATTGCAAGTCAAAACATTTCATTCTGATTTCTTCATTTAGATCTGGATTCTTCTATTGCAACATTTGCTAGTGTATTTACATATTCCTGTCTATATATTCCATGTTTTTATTGCTTCAGTGTTGCAGAAGTACAGAATTTCTGGTTCTGCAGAAACAATTCTATTTTATTTTTTGTTCTATTTTAAAGTGAGGTTTTTTAAAAAGAGTGATATTCCCCACCCACCCTACCCCCAAAAACAGACATGCAGATTTTTGTGTCATCTATGCTTCTAATGAGAATTAATTTTTCCCTCCATTTTGAGTGCACAGCAAAACTTTCTGAGGCTAAAGTGGTTATATTTTGGATCAGTCCCTGTCTTGAGCTCAGGTTTTGATTCACAGGACTTATAGTGATCAAGCAGTAATAACCAATCCCGGAATAACACCTGTCTACCTAATGCATCTTAAAGTAATTCAAGTTACTTTCAGCTACTTTCCATCCTGTCTTTAGGAGTCCTTCATCTCATATCCTGATGGTGTCAATCTCACCATGCAGTCAAGTCACAGTCCCTGTGGAAATGTGTCCCACAGAAGGAGGAGCTGTCCAGAAAGTCCCCAATTATCTTTCTCACTCTTTCAGCACTGTTTCCATCTTCCAAATTAGGCCAGTGTGTTGTGCACATGCTTTTTTTCAAGCTTGCAATGCTTTTCTTTGCATTCTCTACACCATGGTCTTGTGTTTTGGGTTGGCATTTTTAATGTAATTCTGAATAGTGACATTGGGAGGAACTAAACAGTGATCAGAAACCAACACTTTTTAGGAAATAGCTACTTGTGAATAGCAGTTCTTGTGTCTTGCTTCAAAATCCTGCAGCATCAGTCTGCAATTAAGGAAAGAACAAAGGAGATTTCAGACACAGAGATGTTTTTCCCAAGGGGGTACGTGTGTGCACAGGGGGTGAGTGCTAATTGTCCCCTCTCTTTCTCTTGTGTCCTAGCCAACCTGGCAGAGAAATCAGTGGACACGTAAACCAGAAAGGCAAGATGAGCAGTGCCTTTCCCAGCCTTATGTTTTCCCTCCCCCACTGGGGCCTTGGGAGGTTGCTGCTGCATTGGTGGAGAACGACTGAGATGTGCATTCACAGCAGCAAAAGTCAGCTTTGAAAAATTTCCCAGGTGAGTGTCAGCGAGCCGCTAATCAAATTGAGCGTTGATTGCAAAACTAAAAATGAAGCAAACGCTTTGCATAATTTGTTAGACTGCTGCTGTGTGTGCATGCGTGTGTTTATAGACTCTTCCTCAAGCATTGTGAATTGAATTAATCATGGAAAAGAGAAGCACTCCGTGTTCATAGTCTTGGTGCCATTCCAAAGATGTTTTGTATGTTCTGGACTGGAGTTAGGGCTGGGTTAGGAAATAAGGGACAGACCAGGCCTTGTTCTCCAACTGCTGCATTTGTGGGTGAGATTTAATGGCAGTTTGATGCATTTTGCATGACTTGAGAAATTTTAGACAGCTTTCTGTATTTATTGTGTAGAAATGGAAAGAGCTGTTTTATCTCAGCTTGTAGGAATGCTTAAGTTAAGTTAGTCTGTGCCTACTTGAGTAACCACAGCTATTGAAATAAAGCACAGGAAATCCCAGATCCAGTTACAACACCCCAAAAATGCAGCCTAAATGTGTCTGAAAAGTCCCCAGAAATTTCCAGTTCTCAACAAGCATCAGCCATTCCCCAAAGCCAAGCTTACTTACCTCAGCACATGAACCCTTTCTCTCACCAAGACCTCACAAATTCCCCAGCCCTACCTAAGCCTCCAGAATTTTTGTCTCGCTTACACTGGTTTGAGTTGGATGAGTTAAGATTTAGCAAAGGGATTGTCATAGTAAAAGAGCTGACCAGCCCTCAGATGCCTTTCAGGTGACTGCAAGTAGAGTGAGCCCTTTCTCCCTATGAAGGCTTTATGACATAAACATCTTCTGGGCAGTGCAGATGCACTGCTTTGTTCAAGCTAGCCCTCTTTTGTTATGTGAGATGGAACAGAATGACCATAGCTTATTTGACTAGCTCTGGATTCATTGCTCTGACATGTTTTGTCAGTAAAACCAAAGCTAACCAATACCAGTCACCCGGAGCATTGGACTGGACCCATCACTTTTAATTCTCTTCTTTTTTTGAAGAATGATGCAGCTACTAAAAGGTTCCTTAAGGAAACTAAAAATTAGGTCCTTTTCCCTCCCATACTAATCCTGGGCTTCAGGATATCACGGCCAGTCCCTGGGTGTTGTCAGGCTGCTGGGCAGAGCTCACTGCCATGCCAGGTCCTTTTCCTGAGATTTGTGCTGTCTCACAAAGCAGCATGTGGGGATGCTTTGGCAATATGAAAGAAAGGGATTTATAGCTGTCATGGTGAAGGGAAATGCACTGCAAAACACAAATCCAAATCTCAGTGCAGCTCTCCCTCAGTGACTGATAGCTTAACCTTCAAATATCCACCCTGTCTCATAGGAAAGGGTAAATAGGGAAAAATGAGGGAAATTATATGAACCTACTAACTCTTACCTGTAACCTTCCTAAATGATCTGTGCAAATTCTCCTGTGAGACAACGAGTGTACTGATGGGTCCACTGATTCATAGTCTCTTGCAAGCAAGGATACAGGAATATCTCTCTCCCTTGCAGACAAGGTTGTCTGAGGCTGGCTCAGGGGCTGAGGGAGGCCAGACAAGCAGCAAAGTGCCTGGTGAAATAGCCAGGAATTGAAAGGAGTAGGGAGAGATCTCAAAATCCCACCCAGCCCACAGGTTTCCTGCTCACCTGGTGCAAGAGGAAGGAAAAACATGGTATTGACCCTCAAAAGCTCCTTCCTTGCTTTCTGTGCCTGCCCTCATTTAGCTGCCAGAGGTATCTGGAACAGCACATCCAGATGCTTTCCATCAAGTTGACATTCCCTCCTTGCTCAACCACCTTTGCTGTTCCCTGACCCAGTCCTCTGCTCCAGGTTGTTCTTTGTGCTGTTTCTTTTTGCCCCTCTTGGTCTCTCATCAAGGTGTAAGTAGCCCTGCCCATGACATGTGAATCTGCAGGGCTCTGCTATTCTCCTGCAGAGCCAAAAATCTTCTGCAGCAAAGCAGCTGCTCTGCAGAATTTATCTGACTAAAAGATGAGACTTCCTGAAATGCATCGAAGGGCTAGAGCCTCCCAGCTGGTATAAATCCTAGTTTACAACATAGATCACAGTTATAGCCAACATGTAAATCACAATGCTCCCTCCTGGCTTGAAAATCTATGAATCTATGAGAATTGGCATAATTGCATTGATTTCAGGAGGGCTCCTGTGCCTTGCACTGGCTGGGGACATGGCCTGGCGTACACCCATCCTGTTAGAACAAATTAGGATTCTCTCTGTGGAGCAGCAGTTCAGCATCCAGGCAGGCTGGGTCAGCCACAGCTCCTCCCAGAGCCCACAGAGGAGCCGGGCTCAGCTCTCCCTGAGCTCTGAGCACATGGCTTTGCTCCCTGTGAGGCTGTGTTTGAAAAATACTGCTGCCCAGTGAAGTGGTGCAGTGTAGAGATGTAGGCAGTGGTGCCACTTTGACCAAGGAAAACCTGTGGGGGTTTTCACAAGCCAGCAGTGGTTCAGGAAATGCTTTTGCAGAATGCATCCAGCACTTCTGCCCATAGACCTTTGTCCTGGTTTAGGACAAATTTGGGAGGAAACCTCTGAATGAGGTCCCTCTAGGAAAAAGGAAAAAAAATTGGAGAGAAGTGGAAAAAAAGAAAACTGTTTTATTCAACGGGCAACACACCTCCCAGCACAACAATGAACAATATCAAACAGCAAAACCTCTCGCTGTTCCGAGGAGATGGCAGATTTAGAAGAGTTCTTTCTGTGGGCAGCTCGGCTCAGTCTGTTCTCAGTCCCCCCTGTGCTGGGGAATGCCCAGGCCAGGCCAGGCCAGGCCTGGTGGGCCACAGCTGTGAGCTCCCGGTGCTCTGCTGGGTTTTCAGTCCAGAGCAGGTTCAAACAGTTCCAGGAAAACAGAAGAAGGAAAAAAAAACAATCCAGGGGGCTTCTCTGCCTCAGCTAGCCAGAAAACTAACCAAGAGCAAAGGAGAGCTCTCTCTCTCTGTCCACCGCAGACAACACAGTCTGTGAGCAGGGATGCGGGGGAGCCCATGCAGTCTCTGATAACAAACTCTGCATTTCTTCTTCCCCCCCTTCACTCCTGGAACCAGTCTTAAAGTTGCAGAATTCAATATTCAACACCAACAGAACAGACGATTTGGGGATATAGGCATCATACAGTCACCCCAAGCCAACCTCTCTGCAGCCCTCAGTGCCAGGTTCCTTGGCATAGCAATGGATGCAGGCAAAGTAGCATCAAATCAGATTAACAGCCATTGAGATTTTCCCTTGTGCAGTGAAGGGATCTTGCTCTCTGCCTGATGCAAAATTAGAAGTGAATAAATAGCAAATGGGAAATATGGAGAAGAATTTCAAACAGGTAATTTTGTTCTCCATGCAAGTTTACTTTTAGTGTGGTTTACATGGGATTATTTTACAGTAGAATGGTAATTCACCTTAAAGTCTTTGGAATAAGAATCAAAGTCATTAGTCTTAAAATGAATTTATTAAAGCCTTAGTTGATACTGAAAGTCCTATTTAAGGCTACACCTGCACTTGACTTACACTAGGTTGTTTCCCATTGCTTACAATTACCTGAAAAAATTACTCCTCTGGATTTAATTTTCAACACCTGGCCTTTGCTTAGTAGCAAAGTTTGTTGGTTTGGAGAGAAACTTATTGATCATTTTTTTTTTTAAAAAGAGTAGAAAATTAACTTTTTATTATCACATTACATTCAGATACTTTTGCATAGGATTTAATCCCAACAAAACCTACAAATTCAAAATATGTAGTTTGCTTAATTCTCACCCAGGACTGGAGTCAAGGTCAATTGATTTTGGACGTGTTCAGTGAACGGCTTCAGCTGTGCTTAGAGTCGTGAACGTGCAGGTCACAACAAATAAATATTGACAGATCTGTGAAAGCCCAGAATGTGGCCAAATTCTTCTTTTGACTACACAGCTGCATCTCTCTGGGGATATCGATGTTGCTTTTGCATATTTTCATAATCCAGGCTTAGGAGGACTTTCAGGTTTGGATTTTGTTTTAAACTATCTGGTTATGGTGCTGTGATGGATGTTTAATTTCCCTAAAGACCTGGGTAAATAGTAGATCTCATTTTGGTGGCCAACCTGAAACTTGTAGCTTCTACAGAGTAAACAGTGGAACCACAGTGTTTTGCAACAGCCATTTCCAATCTAAAGTCCTGAGATGGTATCAGGGACAGGAGCCTGCCACCAGTTTCAGTCACTAGCAAGGAAAAGAGGTGGATGATGCAGAGCACACTGGGTGTGCACCCTCCCCTTCTCTGCTTCTCCCAAATGCTGCTCTGTGGAGGGGAGGGGATGTTTGGTAATCCCCCTCCTCAGTCCCCAGGGCTGTACTGTGTCCATCAGGGAGTTTCTCCCTTTGCTGGGCTGCCTCACATTGCAGCCACTGCAACAGAAGACAGACCAGTGCTCCTGTAAAACTGTCCTGTAAAAAAAATGGACTTGCTTACACACCTTGCAGCCTCATCCTGTATTATTTTGAAATGAAAGTCAGTCTGGACACATTTAGTATGAAAGCTGCCACTGATTGCAGGTTTTATTGGCACTTGCCAGAGCTGGCTTCGACACAAGTTTCTGTGAGATAGGTGTGGCCCTGAAAACATCCATCCCACTCATGCCAGACCTGTCCTGGCTTGCTTGCATGAGGAAAAGAGCTCAAACACCCTTTGTGGGAAGGATCTCCTGACATAGCTACAAACAGGAAAGTGGGTGCCCCCTGAGGCACAAGCACACTCTTCTGTCCTCCTTTTAACCTAGTGCTGCTGTGCTCCCTCCCCAGGGAAACCTCTTTCCTCTGATGTTGAAACCGTGTGTAACATCCCTGCCTTGTCAGAAAACCTGGATTTGGTGGGGTTTTTATGGCTGGCTTGTTTGGGAGGGTGGTGACTCAAATTTTCTCTGCGTGTATGAGCGAGAAGATTGCCTGGCATTTGCTGGCTAGAGTGGCCCTGTGGCTTGGCTCCTACCCTCCCAGGCAGCTGAGACCCACCTAAGAGGCA